TGGTCGACTATTTCCATTAGTCTCCTAGTGGCGTCCGTGGTAGATCTCTTTTTCCTAAATCCATATTGATTTTCCGTTAATCTTCCGCTACTGTCCAGGAATTCTCTTATTCTACTATCTATGATCTTTTCTAGTAGCTTACCGGCTGTGTTAAGCATGCATATTGGGCGGAATATGTTAAATAATATTTTATAAAATGTTTAAAAACCATTTGAATTCTTCACAACATTTTCAAGGCATCGGTCGTGGCACAATTTTAAAATTATTTTTAGTTAATATGTCCATTTTTTATTATTATTTGATTGGCGCTCTATAAATATCAATATTTTAAAAAACAGTTTAAATAACTCCCAATTTGTATGAAATATTCTTTAGATAGTTTTCAATAAAAAAGATATTGCTCTGGATTATGTGCTCTGGCACATAACCGAAAAAAGTGTTATCAAAAAAGCGTTACGCTGTTATCTGATAAGAGATATGTTGTACGTTCAACGTTCAAATTAGAACTAAATGGTACATTCCTAAAATCCCTGACACTGCACCTAAAAATTGGATATAAGATGTGATTTTTTTGCCAACTTAAAGCCCCAAAAAGTACCTCGGATGTACGTTTTCTGTTTGACAGCCCGTCTATATGAATAAATCGGTTTAGAGAACTGCTCATGGCCTGATCCTCCTTTTGGTCGTTATCTCCAGCTCCGTTGAAGTTGGACATGACTGTACAAGTTTAATAATATTTAAACAATTAGTTACTATAACAAATAACAATATAACAATTTTAACAAGACGAGTAGTCAAATATAGGTTGTTTGTTATAATATAAGCGCGAAGCTTAGTGTTGACAACGACGAAAAATTGTTTGTCATATTTATTGATGTTTATTTAAAAGCTGTTTAGATTTTAAATTAGAACCCCCCAAAAAAAATATTGTAGTTGTCTACATTCGGCGTGCACTAGACAGTAATATTTAGTATAAATTAATTTTACTTTGGATTTTTGGAAAAATTTCCTATTAAGTTATAGTCCTATTTTTCATCTACTTTAAGCTCTTAAAAAATGTGAAAAAAAGACAAGCTTTATTTTTCACCGAGTATCTTACTAATACATTTAAAACACAGCAAGACATCAATGACTCGATGGATAGCTGGTACTTTTTGATACCAGGACGTTTTTTGAAATAACAAAAATAGTATAAAACTTAATTTTATATTTAAGAAACCGTGTAGCACCATGTTCCATTGACAGCATGCACACCTTACAAATGTACACTACACCGTCTACCACTAAGGATGCAATTATTGTAGGTATTGATAAAGATAATATTTTATGTAAGAAAGGACATTCACACGATTCATCAAATCAAACATATTTTATTAGTACAATTGCACTATTTTACAAGTACAGTAGATTTAACATATAAATTGAAATAAGGATAATATAAGTTTTGAAAATTTTACATTTAACTAAATAACCTTAATAATAACATTATATAATCTGATATCCACAAAAATAGTTGTAAATTATTCAAAACGATTAATATACCATTATAAATAGAGTTATAATTCATTTAAAAACTTTTAAATTAATATTTATGAAAAACAAAATAAGGTGTTTTAACAAAAGTGTCAATTACATCGAGGGAAGTTATTAATATTTTTTGGAAAATAATTTTTTTAAATTCTAAATCGAGTATTCTCGGTAAATGAAACATATTCAAAATGTTTTTATTACATGACTTATATTTTTTCAATTGGTCGAGTCCAAAAACAACAAAATACGAAAGTCATAGCCGTTGATAGACTTTATGTAAGATTGATACAAATCAAATTCAAGAGAATCGCCAAAGTACAGTTGAATCTCACCAAGAACTGTTCTTACTTTATCCGACGATTGCTGATGAACCGCTTGTTGTGACGTACACATATGTTCTAGTATTGAAATATCCAAAGCATTGCATAACGTTTGATGTTCATCTTTGATTTTTCCATACATAGTGTCTGCGTTTTGTTTAAAATGATCTGCACCTTTTGTTAAGACACTATTGAGTTCGGAGAAGATGTCGTCATCGTTTAAGTGTAACGCGTTAATAACGTCTGGTAAAACCGATTGAAAATCTTCAATGTAAACATCAATGTTTTTTTCTGTGTAAAATTCACTAGCTCGGTTTGGCTCTGGGTGTATCACACAATGTACTTGCGCTATGAATTCCCACGTGAGTTGTAACAACATGAATCTAAATGTGTCCATAATCATGTTGTTAAGTTTTCTAAACATGAGTAATCCTCCCAACCCGTTTGTTTTAGGAAACCCTAAATAATAATTCATCGATCGATTCAATATAACGCAAGTGTTGCTATCCAAAAGCGAAGGTGAATACGATTGAAATCTGGTACGAAACTGAATGTACTTTTCGTCAATCGCCTTTCTTAAATAAGTTTCGTCGATATTTGCGTTGATATACCTGTCGAGTCCTTTTTCCAGATTACGCTCGTGTAAATCGTTTAGCGTTTTTTTATTATCGAGTATGCAACCAAGTGCACGAGAACTAGAATATTTACCGTTAAACGGATCCCGTTCAACGCCTGCTGCTTTTTTGAAATTACTGTCACGGTAACATATTGTCTCGAGATATTTGTCGAGTTCAGTAATAACAAAACGATTTTGATCCATCAAATGTTTCCGAACACTATTTGGCGTGGTCGGAGATAAATGGCAGTAGTTGTTCATGGCGAATGAGTGATGGTAAACTAACCATGCTACAGACATGTTTTGTCTTTTTTCATCGAAAAATAGCCTAACCATTGTCACGGATTCTTTTAAGAAGCAAGTCGAACCGTTCGATATTGAAGAATCGTTATTTCGAAACATTTTGTCGACTATTGAAAAATGGAAACGGGCGCTCCAGAGATGACTGCATTTAAGTTGGTCGAATCTGTTAGATATGTTTTCCCTTAGTTGTTGGCTGGATAAATTAGAGAAATTGGATCCCAACGCGTCGGTCTTGAAGCCAGTGTTAAATGAACTTACTTGCTTCCACTGTGCTACTAGATCTCCGTGCTCGTCGCACAACAGCGGCTCGTGTTGGACCATGATAATGATTATAAATAGGACACAACATTTTGTGAAAATCATTTTAGCAATGCCGTTTTCCAATATAGCACAAGCCAATTAATGTTGAACACAATAAACTGATGCAAAAATATGTAGAACGAGCGACGTTCAAGTACAAGAAAACTATGCAGTGAATGTTTTTCTGCGGTGGATAGAATGCAAAAAACTTGTAGACCACGTCTTAACATTTTTCTAAATCAAATATTATCGTGTTTTGTACAGTCATTTGTCTTTCCTATGACGTCAATCAAATGTGTTTTTTGTTTTCGGTTTCGATGCGCGATAAAAAATATATACTATCGGTCGGTTTTGCGGTGTATTATTTTTCCTTGCTGTTGTTTTTAACAGCTAAACCGATATGTTCGCAACACGTGTTACCGTAAGTTGCAAAAATATCAATAATTTCTCCTTGAAAATCGGTCGAAACTCACTAGAAAATAAATAGTGTGTTTAAACGTAAAACTATGGGTGGCTCTATTGACTTTTTCACATTTTCCACGGTTAGGGTTAAAGCTTTTTATGATTTTTACTTTGGGGATGGGGAGGGCCTTAGTTTGTATCTACTAGTAACAAATAGGAATGACCTATCTAAAATTATTATTTATCCAATTGAATAAACTACACTAATAAGTGTTTATTTATATAATTTTAACCATTGTCACGGATTCTTTTAAGAATAAAACCAAATGGCTTTTTAGTAGAGGAAACCTAACCTAACCTAACCTAGAGGATGTATGGCTTGAAATGTTTTGATGAAAAATGAAAATGTGCGCTGAAAAGATAACCGCATTTAAGTTGGCCATATTTAGTTGGCCTTTTTCATTCAGTTGAATTTTTTTTTTTATAATCAAATGTATTTATCATTAGTAATTGTAATTCTTGCTTATTCCTTAAGTAATACAACAAACAATTATTATCTGTGATTATTAATATTATTTTCAAATGATAATCCAATACTTTGAGCACCGTGGGAGACAAATCGAAATCGAATTCAGTTATTTATAATGATATTTATTTGTCCTTATGCGAAAACGTGTAAGAGTGTTTTTTTTGTGCACTCACAAAGCAGCGGTCACAATAAAAAAAAATAATATACAACGTTTAATCCGAACAAAATAAACTTAATAGAGTGACCGTTTTTTCTCTACAAATAAAATGTATACAGAGTGATTCATTAAGGATAAGACACATCCAATATATAATATTATTGTGCATGATATTGAATAAACATGTTACATTTCTTACACAGAATGAATGTTTTTTTTTTATTAATTAGATATATTCAACTTTCAATTTTAAAATTTGGGCCCTTAAACTACTCGTATTTTCAATTTATCATTTAGTTCTAATTTGAGCGTTGAACGTACAACATATCTCTTATCAGATAACAGCGTAACGCTTTTTTGGTAACACTTTTTTCGGTTAGGTGCCAGAGCTATCTCCTACCTCCTATCTCTCACTCCCTATCTCCCACCCCTATCTCCTACCTCCTTTCTCCTACCCCAGCGAAGCTGAGAAGATTTTTTTTTTCAACGATGTGTTTTTGTTAATTTAAAAAAAAAAAAAAGTTCGACCCTTCTCCTTCAAAATCAAGAAAACACTCAAACGTTAAAAGTACGGAGCTCTATAACTTTTTTTTTTTTAAATAATCAAATTAATTCCAAATTTGTGTGGATTAATTTATTTTATTTTATCGATTTTATCTGAGAAGTATCTCCCAAGTACGATTTCTTATCTACAGATTAGCTTCATCAAAATATGGGTTTAGTAATTAAAAAGCTATAATTTTTAAACGAAAACCTTCTCAGTTACGCATCGGAGAAAAAAATTAATAATTATTGAAGACTATAATTAATACAAAAGGCTTTTATTTTGATTATTGTTTGCAGATAAAAATGAGATTTTTTTGTATTTTAATATCAATCGTCGTGGTAAATGTTTTAGCAGATGATAAAATAAGTAATTGTTGTTTGTTTTTATTTTTACACTTACCTACTCGAGGTGATTAAAAATCTAAAAAGTAATTTTTTCACAGTTGAATATAAAAGGGAGCTTGTCTACACAAGTTAGTAATTTTTTTTTTCATACAAATTTAACTTAAATTTTAAATATTTGCAAAGAATTATTTAAATTTATTTATTACAGATAGACAAATCAAGCGTGTATCAGATCCTAATGGTATTTACACTTATAATTAAAATTTATTTGTTACCTCAACTTATAACTTTTTTTTTATTCTAGTGCGTTTGCAAAAAGTAATTAGACAATTTGTTCGTGGAGATACACCGATGGGTAATTATAATCATTACAGTATTTGAAAGTGTTAGGTTAGGCACATACTTCTAATACATTTATGTTATGCACATTTTAGTGAAACTGTCGTATATGTTTGCTGCACCGGGTAATAATTTTTCTCAAATTTGTGGACGTGTCTGCACACAGTTGTTTGGTATTAAGTATATATCGTTCTCGTTAAAATTTCAGCAAAAGCAATAGTACCATTCCTAGGAAATGAAAGTAATGAACACCACGCAAAAATACTGCAGGGTAATTACTCTTTTAAATTCGAAATTAAAAATACTTTAGATAGACATCTTCTTCTTTGGGTAATCGGCCGCTAGGACCATCCCGCCAAGCACCCATCCCTCCAGCCAATCTCGGTCGGATGCTCGTTCCTTCCAATCCAGTCCTCCACCTAAGGCACTTACGTATTTTTTTACTAGATCTTCTCATCTCATACGAGGTCTTCTTAGTGGCCTCTTCCCTTCTGGATCATTTTCTGTTATTATGCGTAACAAGAGGTTCTGACTACGCCAAGCATGTCCAGCCCATTTGAACTTTTATTTCTTATTGTCTCCAATATATTTGGCTTATGGAAAAGTAATTCTAGCTCATTATTTGCTCTTATCCTCCATCCATAGCTACTGCTATCTTTCATTGGTCCATACATCTTTCTTAGAACTTTTCTCTCCCAAGAACAGCTTTTTTTCATCTCCATTTCGTAGTGGTCACGTTTCCGCTCCATATGTTATAACTGGTCGCAGTAATGTGATATACAGCTGTGTCTTAAGTTCCCTCGAAACAGATCTTGATCCTAGTAGTTTTGGTTGTGTAGTTTAATACATAGATATCCAGGCATAATTTATATAAATTCAGATTTTTATTATGTATTTAAATGCTCTTTTCTATCTTAAGAAAATATGTACAAAAAAGTTGTGAAAATTAATTAATACTAGTATTTATTTTTTTTATTGAATGAATTTTTTTTTATATATTTTAGAATGCATAAATTCCCAAAATGAATTGCAAAAAGAAATAAACAACACCTTAGGTAAATATAACATTTCAAAAATGATAGTTGTTTATTTCTAAGTAAAATCGATGAAAATTTGATTTGAGTTCTTAAGTTTTAAAGCTATATGTTTTCTTACTAAAAGTATTGATGATTATTAGAAGAATCATTATTCAAATGCTTAATAACCGTTCTAATTAAACTCAGTTTTACATACTATTATAGATAAAATATAAGACTAGATTTCATTTACTGTATAATTATTTAATATTTTTGTTACAGGTGTCTCTGTGCTTGAAAAAGGTAATCACGCATTTATTTGTTAATCACAAATAGCCTTAAGATTTTTTATTGTAACTTAATGGTTGTGCATTATTTGTTAATAGGTAAAACACTATTCTTAATTTGAAATGTACTAGCCAAATATTTGTTAATAGATTTATAGGTCCTCCATAACTTTATTCCAGTGTAAAATATAGATAAAATGTACTAAGTATAGACGAATATTTTGTTATGTTTTAATTATTCAAATTATATCATTAGCAATATATTTTGAAAGTTTTTCTTGTTTTATGATAAATTTGACTAAATATTTTTGTCATTACTATCGTGTTAGCGTTTTGAGTTTTGACCGTCAGTCAAGTCTTATATACACCGCTCAATAGCAGAAAGTAATTTTTAATCAAAACAGTCATTATTTACTTGCTGCTATCCGTTTGCTTGCCACATTTTAAGATGGTGTCGACCTTTATTATTAAATAATAACGTTTATTAAGTTGTCTGTTTTATTTCTATTTATGTTAATTTTATTATTTAAAACTTTTTGTATCTTAACTCATAGTTTGTTTATATTAGTTCTAGGATATAGTACATTGAGAAATGTGGCTTGTGGATGCAAATCGATGGGTAGTTATTATACTTATATAAAACATAAACATAAAGCTTTATTACAGGCTTTTTATAAGCTTTATTTTTTATCAAAATTATTAAATTGTGATAAAAAATGTAGCATTGATTTATCTCTATGCAAATTTAACAGCGACAATGCTGAATATTACGAATACGTTATATATATTTTTTTAATTGTAAAAAGAAAAAGAAATTGTTTACTGGCATATGCGAAACAAACTTTAATATTATTTAAAAACATATTGCTTGGGAAAGTAGTGAACATTTACAAGGCATATGTACCTGTTTAATTAATACATAAGTGTAGGAAAATTACTTACTACTAGTTCATAATTAGAAAATTTGAACAACAACTTAATTGTACTACATTAATAACATGAACAATTATTTATAATTTTTGTATAATATTTTTGCAATCAACACGCTTTTTTTAAAAATTATATAGATTTTGACGAGTATGGGTTTGTAGAACTTGGAGCGGAGAGAACAAACCTAACTCGAGATGCTGTAAGTCTATTGATAAATGTTGTATCGGGTAAGTGTTATATCAAATTGCAATAGTTTAATTTATGTTATACGTATATATGTTTAGTGATAAAGATTTTTTTCTTATTGTTTTCTGCCAGTTAAAGTGCTGAGAACTTTTAAATTGTCTAAACCATTTTTCATAATATGTCTACTATATATATATATATATAATATCTTAACACTTTAACTGGCAAAATAACAGTAAAAATAAAATCTCTATTCCTCTGCAACATTTTCACTTTAACTCTTGCCTCAAAGTTCTGCTTTTACTGTATTGTTTAATTAACACAGGCAATAACACGTTTATATTTATAAATAACTTTTTAAAGTTGTATTTAGTACAATTTTTATGACGAATAGATTATGATATACATGGTTTCCAGTCTATTTTATCTCCATTTAGAAATGTTATTGCCTCAAAGTAACATAGCTGTACAATACGGATTACCTGTATATAGCATTAATCACGCGTATTAGTTATTTCTTCCACACTGAATAAAATATTTAGTAACTAATAAGTTAAAAATTGGCAATTTTTTAAGTATACCTTTTTTATTTTTTGAGAACCAAGCCATGAAGATCACGGAAATCGTTACCTCATGTGTCGTTTGAAGGGCGTTTACAGAAGTATAGTACACCCAGATGTATTTGTAACACTAGCTAAAGTTGACGGTGAAGAATGTCGTCTAACTGGTATAGACAAAAATGAACACGCAGTCAATTTCATTGGATCATCATTAATATAGTGAAAAGTTTTTCACTAGCTTCTCAGTTTTTATAATTTAGACCATGTATTTTAGACATTAACTCATTAAAAATTATACAGTACTTTTGTTATTATATTTAAATAATTATTCCAAACCACATTTGTACCCTGATTATCAAATTCAATGTATCTTATTATAAACCGTTTTACTTATGATTATAAATTTATTTGTCGCTTTTTACCTGTACACAGATTCGAAGAATAGTTTTATTTCTTTTAACCGTCCTCTTTAATGGCTTACTGAAATTAATTCAAGCCCTATGTCTGAAACACTAGTCTTCATAGTTTATAATTGCCTTTTTTCGAAATTATTTATTAACAGCAAATTTAGGTCATCTGCTCTCTATTGTACATTCTTTGGAGTAATCATGCACACACTTTTTTTTTGAAAATAAAAAAATTAATTACAACTTGATTATTATTTAAAAATAATATTAACAAAAAAATAAAATATATACAAAAATCCGTTTTGAAATGTGTAACGTTTAAAAATAACTTACTTGAGAGGATCGCTGGAAAAGTAAAATGACTCACAAGATCTCGATCCATTTCGAGACTTTAATCATTTGAAATGCAACATTTCACGATTTGTGAAAAAAAAATCTCCTTCGGCTCTTTCTCATTTGTTCTTCGTTCTTTGCGATTTCACAATCGTCCGACTGAGTGACCGAAGGTTATTTACAATTTGTCGATTTTATGTTATTTAAACAAATTATGGCATTTCGATTGATATTATTATACTGCACTTAATACGGTATACACTTGAGTAGCCGAATGGCCTATGCGAGACGCCGGCAATGCGTGATGGTATTTTTCAGTAAATTCCATACGGTACATTTTGGTTCGAAATTGCACGAGTCTTACCAGTAACCGGGTATTATATTTATATATACGGTTACTACTCGGGTTACTGTATAAAACCGCTACAGTACCGTTTAAAAGTGTGGTTTAAAATGAGAAATATTTGCAGGTCGAGAACCCATGTGCGAGTACTTTATTGAGAAATGGTTAATATTATTATTAAAACATAGCTAGCTGCAAACTCGTCCGTATTGGAGTGGCGTGGCAGTAAAGCTTAAGTCATGTAGGACTCAAGACTGACCATCTAGGAACTCTGGATTTTATGGGGTGATATTTAGATAATAAATTTCCAACTATTATTTGGAAATATCTATTTGAGATAAAAGTTTCTGGGATCTTGGTTATGTATGTTGGGAGATTTCAATTTTTTAGTGAGTCCATATCCATTGTGCTAAACTTGATCGAATGCTTCAGTGACATCATTTGGTGGCAAATTGAGTGGTGATTCTCAAACCCCGTTTGGTGGAATAACGTCGAGGTATAGCTATAGACTGTACGAAAATGCTAAATTAAAACCCAACCTTTCCTGGTTACAGGACACTTCCTCTTAAGTAGAGTTAATTGAATATTGAATATGATACATTGTAGATCAAATGCATACTTTTATGTCTGACAACTTTTGTTAATATTAAAAATATATGTTAAATATAATCATATTTTATAATTGTACTATTGTTAGCATACAAATTGTGGAAATCTACACTTATTGTTCAGTGTAAAAAGGGTAAATTGTTAATGTTGTTAACAATCGGGCGTTGATGTTTTGCGGTTTTTCTTTTCGTCGGGGTATCAGTCCAGATGAGGAAAAAATAGAATATTTCCACGATGCTCAACAGACTCACTCCCAGAAACAAGGCTAAAGTGCCTCCGGTCGACACTTGAGAAAAAAAAAAATAAACCAATACAATAGCTTGTTTACTGTCATCCGCTTCTACTGCCTATACCTACCGATCAAATCCATCCGGGATCGGACGACGTTTCTTTTAAGCCTTTCGTTGGGCAGTCTGTCCAAAGCGATCACGACCTTCGAACCGTACGCGACTTCTTCACTGTTTTCGTCGTCGTTTAACCTGTCCACACAGAACACCTACCGGTAGAGCACAGATGCCGTAAGTAGTATATTTTTTCAATTCACTCACGATCCGATTTCGGTAGACAAGACTTTATACTCCGGTTCGGTACAGCTAGATGCGCAGTTGCAGACAAGACCGAGTTTATTGAAATCGTACGTTTTCAGCGCTCTAAATATCTCTAAAAAAAAAAAAAATCGATTTCAATCGACTACGACTGGAACAGTGAATACTTTATGACCGGGACATAGGCTATCGGGATACACCATTCGACGAAATGTACATACTAACCTGAATGTTTGGTAATGCAACCGAGTCCTTCGATCCCACACACGGGCGTGTTGGCTTAGCAAGTCAAAGGGTAGTAAGCACATAATAATATTAGACCGAGACTTTATCGGGTGCAATCGAAAGCTCACTTACGAATCCTCAAATAGTGTGGAGTGCAGTTGCACATCTCCATTTGAGCTTCGGCCCTGCAGTTGACAATGCACGCGGAGTTACTGTATATGCCGTACACCTTCAGGTTGTTTTCGTCTGGAAACCGGCAATTCCTCTGTTCTATGTCGACTTCCTTCAGTATCGGATCGTTCTCGATTTCTTTGACCTAACACCGTTCCAATACACAAACATCCATGTTACTAAAATGTCATAAAACTAAGCGCTACGCTTCCAAGTAGGACTGCCGTCGATGGACCATATTATATAGGCTGCTCCAAGATGACACGTTATGTGACATTGGGAAGCCTATAGATCCATCTAGACCGCTCCAGTCCTGCCTGGGAACTTATTCTTGTGTGTGAGATCCTCGTTTGAACTTGCCTGATAGGTCAGAAAAAAAGATACGCCCCAACTGAGTAGAAATTTCTCGTCTTGCGGATGATTGACGTACGGCAGATCTTCCGGCGAGTGAATGTACAACTGTAACAGCAAACCAATCACACATTATGTTGTATTTGGTGTGCGTTTTGATGAGTATAATAATTATGGGAATACTTTAATCGATTCGAATGCCGTGAACGTGAGCTTTCCCGGTCCCATTTGCCGGTTCGATATCATCTTCAATTTGTCCTCTTGCCGCCTACGATAATAATAATTGTCAACGGTAAATAATTACTATTGTTGTTATTTAGTTCATTGCACACAAACACCGACATGGACGTGTGCAAAGAGTTTATGGTGAAGCACACTCCGTTTTCCGTGGTTATCGGCAGAAACTGTTGGCAGCAATCGAACGGCTCGCTGTTCCAAAAACAGTTGCCTATTAGGTCTTCGCAGTTTGCTCTTATCTGCCAATACAACACAACGCATACTTAAGCCGAGTAATAATAGCATAACATGTCGTTACGGTGACTATTCAGAGTACCACCTTGGGCAATGTTTGTAGATACAAAAGGAAATACCTTTAAATTGTATACGTTTAATTTTGACCAAACTAGTGTTTTTCTTTAACAATTTACAACTTTGACCCATGCGTATCAATGGCGTGAGGACTATGTAAGATTTTTTCAACTTTGGATCAACCTGAACTACCGTAATTACACCATCCACATTATCTTAAGGAATAATTAAAATTGAAGGAGCCTCCAGGAGTGTACAAAGCCGTTGCTGATGGATAGGTTAAAATTGAATTTTAATTTAGTAAAAACTTAAATATTACTTATTTTTTTAAACGTTAGACACTTAAAAGTCGCCGTTTCGTCTTCCTTAACACTACAGAACTTATCTTATAGCTATTAACATGTATTTTTTGGATCTGGTAAGCTAAAATTATCTGTTTTACATTGAAAATATCCACTAAAATAGCTCACGCGGTACGTACTTCTTGAATGATAGTTTTGAAGTCGGTCGTGCAGTTCAACGTTTCCTTCTTGCAATGCGTTATACAAGAGTAGCAAGCTCCGTCGTAGTACGCAATGTCTCTCAGATAAAAGTCTATATTCACATCTCTGTCCGGTCCGAACATTCTATACATGTTGCCCATTTATTGAGTACAAACATACCAAAAAAAAAAAAAAATGTGTTATCAATATCAAACATTATTCAACGATAATGTGATTAATTGCCAGCGTAAGAGACGTTTTTCTTGGAATTTATTTTAGTGGTTCGTCTTTAGACGAGGACTAAAATATTGAAAACGAAAAAAATTGTGAAAAATTGAGATCACGTTGTATAAAATCAATATGAAAAAAAAAAAAAACTGAATTAAATGATCATCCTGTATGTACTGTCTTTCTTCGGGAAACACTAGATAATTTAAGAAATTATAAAGCCGAAAAATATAGTTGGAGTTTTAAGTGAAATTCGGTTATTTGTAGTGAATTTTATGTGAAATTTTAAGGCATTTTTACGCTAGAACTAAAAATGAATTGCATCTATAGTTTCGTTTCGGTAAGTTCAGTGGACTACTAGAGGATGAATTATTATCGTTCGCACTTGGTGGCCGACTCGAACAGCTTGTCGGGCGATTCTTGCTCGCAGACTGATAACGATAAGAAGCTCGTGTTCCAATGCAAGTACGTCGTATCCGAGACGAAGCTGACGGCGTTGTGTTCGTAAGCATAGAAACTGGCTTGCATGTAATTCCAAGTGGCATAACCGGACAGCAAACAGGTCAACACCCAAAAAACTCTGCTCGAGTCGAACAATACGATAATTCCTGTTAAAGTCGGTCTGTATGATAACATATATTGTTATGCTTGCCTTTCGGTCCAGTGACGTTGTCTGTCGGCTATGTAGTTAAACCCGTGAATCGTGCTATTGCCGAAGTACGTCCACAGTCTTATCATGGTCGGACGATTGTGAACGAAGGCAAACCGGCAACAAGTGCTAACGGCGTTGGTCACCCAATTTAAAACGGCAAACGGATAATTATATACTTATTACGTTCAAATAAAATACCGTTATCGCGGCTTTTTATCACGAGAAAAAACCTTTTAGCGACCACCGTTATTACGGGCTGCCTGATCAATCGGCCAACGATATGGGGAGGGGAGGAGTGTAAGAGTAACCGCATTTAAAAATATTTTTAAAGGGATAATTTTACTAATCGGAATTGCGAGACTCGTTAGATGTATTTGTAGGTTTTCCAAAGCCATCGGTGAGAATTTTCATCGAGGTGATAGCATGCGGTCTGTTGAGGTTTTAGTAAACGTCGACCGTGTCAATTAATTTACCGGTTAACTTGTATAAGCTCCGAGGTGTTATTTTATTTAATTTAAACAAACTTTTCCAACGAGTAAAAGCCATTTTAGCTGTTTATTTTTGACCGAAAAACCAGACAAAATTTCGACTACACAAAATGGTCCAATTTCGATTCTGTAAAGAGATACGAGTCCTTTGGCTACGTTACTAGCCTACTTTGTAGGAAGTAGATTTTCATCTAAATAGAAATTGTTGGTAATTTTACCTTGAAATAATTAAAATATTACAAAAAAAACAACCCGAAAGATTTGTATCGGTTTTAATGTATTTTTTATACTGTAACATATTTTATTATTATCATGATTTGTAACGAAGGACATAGCGTGTATATTATTATGGTTGTCTATTTTCCCTGTCCAGATAGCTAGACGGTTTTAAATTAATATAACCGACAAATAGATATATAGTGTGATTGTGCCGTATCCGATGTAATGAGTAATATACACACATGTTTTGGTTTTAGCCATACATTTTTTATTCGTTCTCTATCTGTTTGTGTTTGAAAATTGTATAGATAACATATTTTTTGACTTGTTATTATTCTTATAGACCTGTGATCCAACCTCTAGATATTCTCCATAACCACTACGCCCCGTACCCGCTGTACTGGCTTTTCTAGATTCCCTTTTGTTTCAAAACTTTTTAACACGCATTTTGTTTTTTTTTCTTAATTATTTTAACTTAAGTCGTTTCATTTGAAATCTTTATAAGATTGTGGTACACTTGTATACACAGAACTTGTTTAACACGCATTTTGCTGCCAAGAGAATATAGTCATAACACAAATATTAAATTTAAAGACGACGTGTGCACATAATCATTGGCTGGGTTTTTACACGTGATTTTATTTGAAATGAAAATATATTTTTTTAGATGAATATTTAAATAATACTCTTAGCAGTTGTATAGGTATTTGTCAACTGTAGTTAACTCATTTATGGAGTATTAATAATAAAAAACAAGTTCAGCATAGTGTGTTGTATTACCAACGTAACAAAACCTGTGTGTGTGAGAACAAATTCAAAAACAAAGCTTCACTACGGATTTTTAAGTAAATTTTTTGTGCCCCATTCTAGAAAAAACTTATGGTATACTAAGTAAACACAACTTTTTTTTTTTAACAAGTAAAAACTTTACTATAGCTATCATCGATCTCGAAAGTCTTTTCATATTCTTCTAAACGCCAGTAGTTAGAACCGCGTGTCTTAAAAATGTACTGACTTATACTAATTTAAAAAAAAAAGACAGTACATATTGGAAAAACAATTTATAAACGCTATCACTGTGTCTTGATTTAGGATGTGTGATGAAGTTTTTTGCGGTTTGACAATCAAACGAAGCAAATACTGTTAATTTTAAAATGTCGATAGTGTTTTAAAAAAGTATTTAAACAGCGAAAATTGTAATAAAAATAATTAAGATTAAAGGAAAGATAAACGGAAGAAGTTAAAACGAAAACAATTGCTGGTTGATAAAATAATTTTCATAAAAAAAAGGCATAAATATTATGTAAATGTGACATTGCCGCCGATAGTATATTTTATTTAGTAGAAATATGAAATAGGTGTTGATAAAAGCACTGTGAAGGCAATAATGTAATTAAAATTAGCCTATAATCATTGCATACAATTAGTACGAATCATGTTTTTTAGAAAATTCGATTTAAAGATTAAACCTGCTGCCAAATGATTAATTTTAATACTTTGCAATTATTTTTGCTACCAGATGCTTGTTGTTTTAATTTTAAGCTACTTAGTTAAATCTCAGCCGGACACCAGAGTTTTAGGTGATAGCTATTTATGCCCACTCCACCTTTACCCAAATGACGGTACTAGTTATCATAAAATTTAAACTATAACTTAATATTACATTAATGTAGCGAGTGAGGATGTTATGGAAAATTGGCAAATCAAATTTAACCAGTATGACGATAGTAAAAATAGTTTAATCTCTAGGGGTTTTTCAGAAATTATTATTCGAAATCAATAAGTCAAAAGCGACAACAATGTTCTGCGTTCACAGTGTTATACAATCAGTTGACATAAATGTTTTCTGGTGATGATCAAATTATATTTAAAAAAATTAATAAATTGTAACCGCTAATGACGATTTTTATTTTTTTTGCATTTTTCTATAGTTTTGAATTTGTTTACTTATTTCCTTTACCTTATTTTTTATGTATTAAATTACAATAAAGAGAGCTTTTTTATGATTTACTGTTACAACTTTTAGTGAGTTACATAACAAAAAAATGTAGGTACTACATTTCATAATTTGCCTGTAACATATATTTTATCCCAATACGTATAAATTTGTATTTGTGTATCTTCAGCCGTAGCAGCTGAATCGCAAAAAAAAAAAAAGAAGACTCACATCATAAGTATACTTTAACAACTGTCAACTAAGGCCACCGTTCGACTGTTTATGACAAATTTCAATATTTTGCATAATTATCGTTACTCTTGGTAGTTAGCATAAAAAAATAATCACAATATCAATTGCTAAAAATTGCTCTGTATTTTCCGCAAAATATTCTTTATACTTTAAAAAGAAAACAAGCGTATAAGTTTGCATTTAAGTTTAAAAAGTCCACCTTTTTTAGACCCCCAGAAAAAGTACTAAACGTTTACAGCCGTTATTTGGCTACATTCGTTTACTTTGACTACTTTTTGCTCATCGATAATGAAAGCAAAATAATATATCGTTGTAAAATATACACCTTACAATAATATAAAAGTGCCT